AAAAGGTGCCGGAACTCACATACATCATACAACCCGCCTTGCCTACCCTACAAGGTTCCATCCAAAAAAGGTGCCGGAACTCTGTTCTGGGCATTCTATGAGAAAAAAAGCCCTGTCTAAAAGGTTCGCCATCACTGGTCTACCTAATCTAGAAAAAGCCAAGTGGCATATGAGGAACATCTCTCTCTCTCCCTGAAGATTAACCTCCACGACTTTGTAGTTCAAGAATTTGATGGCCGTCCAAAATTCTAAGGAATGGTGGATATTTATGTAATATACAATATTTAAAATGCAAAAGGAAAATCTTAACTGGATCCATTTTCCAATTTAATATCGCTCATAAAGCTTTCTTGTTTTTTCTTAAAAAAAAATACTAAAAGTAATTAGACCATATGGACAAGCTGCCTGCCAAGTTTTTTTTCCTTTTTTTGTAACTCAGAGCTGATTTGAATTAAATGAGCAAAAAATATATTTGAAGCCATTAAAGTTCATATCTGATTGAATATGCGCTTGTATATGGGCATGCATGCATACACGCACACACACACACACACAGACATCTATAATAGGAATGCATGTATGATTATGAATGTATATATGCACAATAGCTAAAGAATTGAAGCTTCCACTGAAGGAATGATGAACCCTTTGCCAAGTTTCTGTTTTTAGTTGCAATCTTAAGCTAACTATAAATAACTTGGATTAATAATTCACTTGCATTTTATATTCACTCATTATTGGAGGCAAACACACACACACACACACACACACACACACACACACATGCTGCCATGCATCAAATTCAGACCTGCAAAATTCTTTGTGGTGGCCAAGAGAGATTTGGTAAAAGAAACAACTTGCAAAAATAAACTACTTTGCAGGCTGCAACATTTTATCCAAACTTTGGGGGTATTATGGAATGATCAAGATGGATATCACCGCCAGGAATACAAGTATCCTATTAGGAACCATGGCGGGAGGGGGGAGGATTTCAAAATAGGCAAGAGAAACAGATCACAGAAATGAGTCAACTTTCCATCTATCTCTCTTCGAGGCCTAGATTTGTACCACTAAGTAACAAAGCCTAAGTTTTAACCCATCTTTATGGTTTTTTTTAAAGTCAAGATGGTGGCCTTGACTGCATGGCTACAGAAGCCATTTTGACCTTTTTGAAACTGTAGACACTGCTACGGGTTCATCTAATGTGAGTTCTTTTCTTGGACACAAATTGTTCCCATAAAACACAGCTGGAGATATCTCTTGTTTAACTGGGTTTAACTGTTTACCAGTAAGTCAGGAGGAGAGGGGAGTCTGTGGAAGATCTATTAGCTCTTTGGGCTGATCTGACATTAGTCTTTAGATTGTATCCTGCTATAACTTCCTAGGAATGTCTCATGTGTTCAAGTTTCTTACTTTCTCTGTCTAATTCTATAAGGCTCATTTGGCATACTCTTGCAAAACTAGGCAAATCAATTATTTTCTTAAGCTCCTTTCACACTTCTTTCCTTCCCTGAGCAAACTATCCATTTTTCAATATTTTGACTTGCCTGACAAAAAAAAATGGAATAGTTGTATTTTTAAAAATCTCAACACCTGAACTTTTCTGCAAGAGAAAAAAAAATCTCCCTGTGCATAGAAAAGGGGGTGGGTTGGAAGGATGTACAAATCAGATTTTTAATAATTATGCAGTATAATGCAGAATTAAAGTCAATCATTCATCTGCAGCAAAAGCCTTCAACCCATGTCCTATTGAAGGCCTTAGTAGACCTAAAATCTGAAAGAATACAGTGAACCTTGTTAATAAAAATGATGATAGTTCACAAAGATTATTAAGTGTAAATAGAAATAGCAAGGAAAATAAAGCAGGAATGGTTAAATTGATTGTTTTATTCACAGAAGAGAATATATTTAAGTACTTTTTCCACTTGGATATCATTTCTGGATTTTGTTCATGTGATGAAAAAAAATGAAATTTTGATTTGGTTTTGTCGATTAGATAGATCTGTTGTTATAGAAATGGCTAGTTATATACTAATGTGTAAAAGCAAAAAGTTGAAGCTGGAGTGTTTTTATTCTGTACTTGTGCTAAAAAGAATCAGAAGTCAATGCCTTTTCTTTCTTTTTCCCCTTGTATCTCACTTTTCTCTCTCTCTCCCCCCCCCTTTCTTTTTTCCTTCCCCTAATTTCTTATTTCTATTTTTCTTTGTATTTTATATATTAAATAAATACAAAAGGTTAAAATAAAAAAAGTAACCCAGACCCTGGGCTTCCTGAAGTCAAGGGACAAATTAATTGTGACTTCATTTGACATAGAAACAAAAACCAACTAAATCCTAGTTGGTCTTTGTTTAAAGCAGTGGTTCTCAACCTTTTTAATGCCGCGACCCCCAACCGGTCGTAAGTCGAGGACTAAACCGGTCGTAAGTCGAGGACTAAACCGGTCGTAAGTCGAGGACTACCCAACTGGTCGTAGGTTGAGGACTTTCCCTGCTCGGGAGCGCCACACATGCGTGGTTCCGCCCCCTGCGCCGGCCGAGGCGTAGCTGGCAAGCGGCAGAGACGGAGCAGGCTGACCACCAGCTGGCCCAGCTCAAGGGAGGTAAGGCACCCGCCGGAAAAGGGGGAAAAAAATGGCGGACAGCCTTGCTTGGTGACCCCCGTGAAATGGTCGATCAACCCCAAATGGGGTCGCGACCCATAGGTTGAGAACCGCTGGTTTAAACCCTAGTTATTTGCATATTTGCTGGTAAATCTATTCCACAGAATTTCCTAGGTCTTGTTTTCTGGTAAATGTGCAAACTATTCTGTGGTGCTCTATACTCTTTTTTCCCCCCTCCATTCAATTGCGTCTGATTCTTGGACCACTGCCTCAACAAGTCTCTGCAGTTTTTTTGTCAAGATTTTTTTTCAAAAGTGGTTTGCCATTGCCTCTTTCCTAGGACTGAAAGTCACTGCTCAGGATCACCCATCTGGCTTCATAAATCTCATTGTCTTCCCATTTCTAGCCTGATGCCTTAACCCAGGGGTAGGCAACCTTGGCTCTTTTATGACTCGTGGACTTCAACTCCCAGAATTCCTGAGCCAGCATGGCTCAGCTTGGAAACCTCTCCCTTTCCCCTCAGCATGGCTGGCTCAGGAATTCTGGGAGTTGAAGTCCACAAATCATAAAAGAGCCAAGGTTGCCTACCCCTGCCTTAACCAAATAAACCTCCCTGCATACATGTAGTCCTCGGGTTATGACCACAATTGAGCCCAAAATTTCTGTTGATAGGCAAGACAGTTAAGTGAGTTTTGCCCCATTTTGCAATCTTTCTTGCCACACTTGTTAATCACAGCAGTTATTAAATTAGTAACACGGTTGTTAAGGAAACTTGGCTTCCCCAATGATTCTGCTTGTCAGAAGGTTGCACATGATCCCGGGACATTGCAACTGTCATGAATACATGCCAGTTGCCAAGTGCCTGAATTTTGATCACGTGACCGTGGGAATGCTGCAACCATCCTAAGTGTGGAAAATGGTCATAAGTCACTTTTTTCAGTGCCGTTGTAACTTTGAACAGTCATAAATGAATGGTTGTAAGCTGAGGACTACCTGTATACTGAAACTTAAATCTAAATACACAGGTTACATTATAGATCTGGATTCAACCCATTAGTTTTTATGGCCTGGGATTTCACTGTTAGAGTGCCATTATTCTGTGGTTATATTTTCTACTGAAATAAATGGAACTTAAATATCCGTATCTATGGTTTGGATTGTACCCTATGGCAAAGCGTATGGTAAGTAAATGGGATTTATCCATGCATACACAACGACAGGACTGTACCCCAAGCAGACTAATAAGAACAGAGGTCTTATTAAATTAAGAGCAATTGATAGCAGGAGTTCTTTATAGCACAAACACAAAAGTATAACTTTAACTTAAGAAACAGATGTCTCTCATAAAATTAAACTTTTAAGGAAATGAGGAAAAATAAAAGTGAAAAAAAATCCTTCCGGGGATTGTTTTTTCATTGTTGTGCTTTATGAAGTGCTTGGAAATGAAGCAATTTCTGATAGTGAAATTACAGATCTTATTCTGAATGCGTCTCATTCTGCAAAACAACGTATTAGTTCACTTTGAAAACGAAACTCATTTTCTTTTATAACTTAAAACTGAAACTACATGATGCTAAATGTGTTAGATGTGTTATTTGTCTGTCTGTCTGTCTGTCTGTCTGTCTGTCTGTCTGTCTGCCTGCCTGCCTGCCTGCCTGTATCTATCTATCTATCTATCTATCTATCTATCTATCTATCTATCTATCTATCTATCTATCTATCTATCTATCTATCTATCTATCTATCTATCCATCCATCCATCCCTACCTACCTACCTACCTACCTACCTACCTACATGGAGTTCTGGGGAACTACCTCAGGATTGGAAAAGAGCTGATGTGGTCCCTATCTTCAAAAAAAAAAAAAAAAAAAAAAGGAGGGGAACAGATCCAGGAACTTACAGACCAATCAGCCTAACATCAATACCTTGGAAAATCTTGGAAAAGATAGAAGCAAACCAAATTATAACCAGAAGCCAATATGGGTTCATCAAAAACAGATCATGGCAAACAAATCTTATTTCATTCTGTGAGTAAATTAGTGGATCAATGAATTCATCAAATTTGCAGATGACACTAAACTGGTAGCAATAGCCAACACCCCGGAAGATAAGTAAAAATCCAAAAGGATCTTGACAGATTTGAACACTGACCCCTATCTAACAAAATAAAATTCAATGTAGACAAAAGTAAAAGGCAAGAAAAACCAACTGTAGATGAAGGGATAGAAGGGAAACTCCATCAAATTTGTGGAGGACACCAAGCTGGGGGTGGGGTGATAGCCAACACTTTAAGATAGATTAAAGATTCAGAAGGATCTTAACAGACTTGAACACTGGGCCTTATCCAACAAGATGTAGTTCAGTGGTAAGAAAAGTAAGATATAATAGGTGGTACCTGGCTCAAGAGTAATAACTGTGAGAGGAATATAAGCATCCTAGTAGACCACCACTTAAGTATGGGTCAGTAGCTGTGCTGTAACTGCCAAAAAAGTCAATGCATCCTATCAACAAAGGGACAGCATCAAGATCATGAGAACTTATAATACCAGTTAAGGAGAAATTTCCTGACAGTGTGAAAAATTAGTTTGCCTCCCACAGTTGTGGGTGCTCCATCACTGGAGGTTTTCAAGAACAGGCTGGACAACCATCTCACCAGAATGTTATAAGGTCCCAGCAGCTGGGATTAGTCCAACTGGTCATGACACCACCGCCAGCACAGGCTGCCCCTCCAAGGAGAAGAGATCTCTGGCCACCAGCACTAGGGGTGAAATTCAACGGTGACCCGAAACAACTGGCATTCTTCCTCACCCAAGTATGGAAGTAACTACATGCAGGAGTACGGGGCCGACTTACTAAATGACCTGATCAGAATGTGATGGCCCTGGAGGGAGACGCCACTGAGTGGATGGTGGCCCTCCATGATGACAATGCAGCAGAGCTGTGCAACTTCGATAGGTTCATGGCTACCCTGAGAAAGTTTGAGGACCTCCTCACTGATTGAAAGGCCAGGACCAAGTTCAAGACCATCAAGCAGGGGAAACGACCCGTTGCTGCCTATATCCAAGAGTTCCTGGCCTGTAGGCTGACAGACTGGCCCCAGAATATGCTGATCGAGTGCTTTGAAGATGGCTTGATCAACAAAGTCTTCTACACCTACCTATCCAGGGGTGCATTATGAGCTCTCCAGGGATGGTATGTCTTAGCCAACGAATTGGAAATCAATCTAGCCAGATACCACGGGTGCGTCAATCAAGAGCAATGACGACCCTTCACTATGGAGAAGTTGGAAACCCTGAGAACTGGGAAGTGGGATTACAGCCCACGTCGCTGCTCCATCAACTGCTTTCATTGTGGCAAGGAAGACAACTGAGCAGCTGATTGCTAGGTGTTCCAGGCGGCACCCAGCCCCATACAACAGGGAGGTAAAGGTCCTGCAAAGCTTTGAGAAACGTCCCTCAGAGGAGTGGAGGTCATTGAGTTCACCCCACTGCCAAGCAAAGGGGTGAACTCTGGCTAAACTTCCCAATCCCGGAATGGAGAGCAACATTGGAGCAGAC